TAAAAAGCAATAATGTCACCCGGTAATTACAAAAAACAACCAAAATTTTACAATCTACCAAGTAGCAATTAAAGCGTGACAACATATGCAAATAAAACGCATCCTTACATAATATCATCTTCGTTCCCATCGTTTCCTTGATTATTTTGGTATTGAAAAAACGAATAAAGCTCATCCCTACATGCCGGGTCGTTGAGCATTGCACGAAGATTTTCCAACTACATAATTAATAACAACATCTATACACTTATAAGTTAGATTGGCAAACATAAACAAAAACTATCAAAATACATTGCTATTTTTAAACAAAGATAGAAAACCAAAGTACATTGCTATTTCTTGAACTTGGGACAAAAACTCAATTACCAAACTTTTTAACAAATAATCACCACAAAACCAAAATTACCAAATAAACATGCATTTTACGATGCTAAAGTAGATTGCTATTTTTAAACAAAGATAAAAAACCAAAGTACATCGCTATTTTTTGCACTTGGGACAAAAGCCCAATTACCAAACTTTTTAGCAAATAATCACCACAAAACCAATATTACCTAATCAACATGCATTTTACAATGCTAAAGAAGATTGCTATTTTTAAACAAAGATAGAAAAAAAGAAGTACATTGCTATTTCTTGCACTTGGGACAAAAACCCAATTACCAAACTTTTTAGCAAATAATCACCAGAAAACCAAAATTACCAAATCAACATGCATTTTACAATGCTAACGTAAATTGTTATTTTTAAACAAAGATAGAAAACCAAAGTACATTGCTATTTCTTGCACTTGGGACAAAAACTCAATCACCAAACTTTTTAACAAATAATCACCACAAAACCAAAATTACCAAATCAACATGCATTTTACGATGCTAAAGTAGATTGATATTTTTAAACAAAGATAGAAAACCAAAGTACATTGCTATTTCTTGCACTTGGGACGAAAACCCAATTACCATACTTTTTAGCAAATAATCACCACAAAACCAAAATTACCAAATCAACATGCATTTTACGATGCTAAGGTAGATTGCTATTTTTTAAACACTGATAGAAACCAAAGTACATTGCTATTTCTTGCACTTGGGATAAAAACCCAATTACCGAACTTTTTAGCATATAATCACCACACAACCAAAATTACCAAATCAACATGCATTTTACAATGCTAACGTAGATTGCTATTTTTAAAGAAAGATAGAAAACCAAAGTACATTGCTATTTTATTGCACTTGAGACAAAAACCAAAGTAGATTGTTTTACCTGTGATGGTTGTGATGATTGTTGTGATGGTTGCGAAGGCTGTGGAATCGGTGGGAGAGCAGAAGGTTTACGGCCAATGCCTCTAATATGGCCACGTCGCTCTCCTAATACTTTCTCAAATGCAGCTCTTTCTTGAGTGGGTGTTAACTCACTTTCACCTTGAGTTTGTTCTAACATCTCTTCAACTAACCGATTCTGTAACTCTCAAAAGTGAGTAACAATTAATTATAAATAAAAATTTAGTTAGATGAGAAAATTTTAATTAAATACTTACATATTGTTGTTCTGCCTCAACAGTAACAAATACATCATTCTTATCAGTATCAACTTTGCGAAACGTTTCCATTCTCTTAAGGTTTTGTTTAACTTTAGAAATTAGATTATATTTTAAATAATAATTACATGTATCATACGGTACCTTCTTATAGCAAGTACTACTATACGAGCTCGAAACCCCACGATTCACATTTGTTTGCAATTATGAAATTCTCTCTTTTCATCACTGTGGGGATGCTCAGATTTGAATTTCCTATGTTGATAACCAAAATATATATAGATTTAAAAAGATAAAAAAAATTAAGTATGAAAGTTAGAGATAAGATTAATTACTTGATATACTGTCTGACTTCTTCACAGCTATTTAATATAAACCATTCCATGTTATGCATTTCCGTTAAATTAAGAGTTTTGATTTGAGTTGTGCTGGTCGGTCGACATTTAGAATCACACATCTAAAACTTTGTCTTTTCAATGACAACATCTTCATTTCTTTCTGGACGATTCTTTACATCTCGAAGGTACATCGAACAAAATGATAAAGCTTCTTCAGCAACATAACCCTCAGCTATAGAACCTTCCGGCTTCGCCTTGTTTCTGACATAGTTTTTTAATCTTTTCATATGCCTTTCGAAGGGATACATCCATCTCATACATACCGGGCCTCCGACAATCGCTTTATCAGGTAAATGCAAAAGTAAATGAACCATAATGTCAAAAAACGCTGGAGGATAAATCAATTCTAACTTGCACAGAATTTGCAATAATGACTACTTTTGCTTTCCTCATATCCTCCACCTTCAATGTTCTAGAACAAAGTTGCTTGAAAAATGTACAAAGGTCTACAATAGGTGTATACGTATCTTTGTCTAACAATCCTCTTACTCCAATCAGTATCAAACGTTGCATAAGAATGTGGGGGTCATGCGATTTCAACCCAATAATGTTAGTATTGATACCGTTCACTTTCTTATTGATGTTAGAACCAAACCCATCCGACAATTTTACCTCTTTTATAATTTGACAAAAGAGTTGTCGACTAGATTTCGTGAAAGAGTATCTTGCTTGGGGTCTATGAAACTTGTCACCATTTTTTTGCAACCATTCATTTTTTTGAATGTTTAGAATTCTCAAGTTCTCTCGTGCATTTGATGTGTCTTTGCTTTTATCGTTCATTAGAAGAGTACCTAACAATTTCTCGTCCACATTTTTCTAGACATGCATGAGATCTATGTTATGTTTCAACTGTAGAGAAGACCAATACTCGAGTTCGTAGAAAATGCTTCGTTTCGACCAGTTCAACTCGTAATCTTGTCGCTTTGGCTCCCCGACTCCATTCTTAGGATGTTTACCCGGTTTACGAGTTAGTAAGAGACCTAGTTGCTCTTGTATGTCATCATTACTAAAGTGTCTCGTAGTAGGTCTTGTCTCTTCCATCCCGTTAAAGTCCAACCTCTTTCTTAATGGATCATTAGCATCTACGAAACGATGATGACCGATATATACGACTTTATTTGTTGCACGGTATGAAACAGTGTCTTCATTGAAAGTAGCACATGCTCTATACCCTTGCCCACTCCAACCTAATAGACTACTGCGAGCTGGCCAATCGTTTATTGTCCACAACAACATAGCTCTCATCGTGAAGAATGTGTTTGTCGCCGCATCTTTAATACATACGCACGAGTTCCAAAAATGTTTAAGTTCTTTCACCAATGGTCTAGGAAAACATCCATATCTTTGCCAGGAGCTTTTGGGCCTGGAATCAACAAAGCACTACCAGAAAAACAGCCTTTTACAATGCTCATTGCGCGTCGTAATAGGCTCAGACGACGCGCAAATGCGCGTCAAGGAAGGCCCTATCATAAAGAGAGCTGACACGCATTTACGACGCGCATATACCGTCACGACGCGCGTTTACAACACGCAATGCGTATCAAGGAAGGCCCTGTCATAAAGGAAGATGACACGCATTCGCGTGTCGTAACCTTACGACGCGCGTGTTAATGACACGCAATGCGTACCAAGAAAGCCCCTGTCAAGAAAGGCCATGTGATAAATGAAGGTGACACACATCTTTGCGTATCGTAATTTTAAATTTTAAAAAAAAAATTATTTATAGATTTACTTATTTTCATATTAAATTTGCATTTCATGTCACATAATGGAAAATAAAATACCATTTACAAATAATACAATGCACTAAACAAAAGTTAATGTTATACAAATAATCATTCCAATAGTAGATAAATGTAATAATACAAATAATCATTCCAATATTAGACAAATGTAACATTTCAACATTTTTTTATATAATTAACTAAATTATTAGCCAAATTTCCTAAAATACCAACATACTTTTCTATGAAGAGCATTAACACTATTCTTTTCCATCAAAAACTTCAAAACCTGCATAATTAATTTAATGTTTAATCAGCTACAGGTCAATAAGGTAGGTTTAAGCAAAAGAGTTTCACAGTAGTAAGATTTTACTTACCACTGTTGTTAATGACATTGAAAGAAGCAGCCCAACAAACAACCCCTCGGAAGGATTATTACTAAATGAAACCAAAAACAAAGTTAAAAAGTGAAGTATTTTGTGACAACCCCGGAACCAGGGGCAAGGCTGTTTTTACCCATGGTTTGACCTAATACATGATAATAAATACTTGTTTAACAAAAAGAAAAATGACTTCTCACGTGAGATCACTATCAAGAATTGATGAAAAAGGGTACTCCACACTGTATTGCCAACAAGCTTGACACCAACACCTGAAAGCTGGAAAAAACAATAACATAAATAAAAATAAATGTAAGATTTGAGATAACAGATGCATGTGTATTAAAAACAGACACTTTTATTAACTTTTTTGGGATAAATAATGGAGTAATAAAGATTTGAAATTTAAATATGAACATACTGGCCATAGGCTATCTTTGTCAAGCTTGGAAGCTCCATCTTCGGCTTGGTTGAAGTAAAACCTAGTCCGATTAATCTTCCCTTTCATGAATTATCTCCAGTTATCAGTCACTCTTCTTGAGTAAACATCGTCATCACATAGCCCATATTGGGCTAGCTCATCTTGAGGAAGATACACTTAAGCTACTACTACCACTTCTCTACAAACCCCTGTTTCTGGGAAAGCATAAAAAAAAAAAAAAAAAATCCTAGAATTGGAAAGTGCAATAAGGTAGGATCCAATGCTGGTGAGCTTCACAAAAAAGTCTTTTTCTTTCGACTCAAATTAAAAAAATATTGTGATGAGTTTTTGTTGCAAACTGAATTATGCAGATTCTCCATCAGGACATAATCTTACCCTCGCTGGCCCCTGTCGATATGATAGCTCTTTAGGTAACACATAAATAACTGCACCGACCTTTTCCTCTCTCTCTCTCTAGGTAACACATAAATAACTGCTTAATCATGTTCCCAGTGACCCGGAATGTGATCACTGGAGTCCTTTTGGGTGCTGTTATCTGTGCTGCAAGAACATGAGTCTGAGAAGAACCCCGAGTTGTCACTGGAGGAGGAAGATTCCTACTCCAGACTCCGGTATCGGTAACCAAGATAAGAAGTCGGCTGGTAATTGCAAGCCTGCCAAGGTTCAGTGGAGTGAACGAATGTTTTGTGTTTTCGTGCATCTTGATGCTGGATTATTGAGCTGCGTATTGATCGTGGGGTCCGTGGGGAGCATCTAAAAAACAAAGCAAACAAAAAAAATGAAATTGCTTGACTAATAACATAAAATAAAATAAAAAAAGATAAAAATACCTTGCATAAAAGAGCATGTATGCGCCTTTTGTTAATACATGTTGAAGATCCACCTCGTTCACCTACATTGACATGATATAACTCATATAAGCATAAGCATAAGCATAAGAAATGAAAGGTGGTATTTTAGAAAAAAATGGTGAATACATACCATGGTGTCGTTAAATTTGAACCATTGATTGTGATGATTCTTAACATAGCAAACATAATGACCAGAAAAGGCATCATTCATTGTATCTACATGAACCACCACCCCATAAAGCCTGTAAACTGGCGACTTATCACTTGACCCACTAACATATGGAGCCATGTCTAAAATCTCTGGGAACTCAACCGATTTGTTCAGCTTCCCAAATTTAACACACTGTAATACAATCAAATTCAGTAACATAATAAGACTTGCACAAATATCTTTTGGTAAAAAAATATTACATGAAATCTCTTCAATGAAATAGTAAGCACATTAGGAGCCTCCAATAACATCAGTTTCTTTCTGACTTTCTCATAGGATTTGCACCTTAAGAGCAAATTAATTAATACACTATATAACAGTGAAAAGGATGTGATCAAGAAAAGATAGGTGAACTAACACCAAAACCAACATGCTGCATTTGTACTTGTTCTGGGGAGGAGTTAAAAAACAGAGAAAGTAAGTCGGCTTCCCGACCTGCTGGACGGGCTGGTTTCTAGTCTTGCTGATGTTATTATTATTATATAATCATGTGTTAAAAAGATACTTGTCTTGTGATCTTTTCGACATTTTAAGAAAACTGGTTGGACTTGGGTTTTTATATTAATATCATGGGTCAAGAACATCTGAAACAAATGATTGTTGATTTTTTGGGCAAGGCCTTTTAATCCGGATTCTAGTGAGCCAACTATATGCATGAAAGTGTTTGTATTAAGGTTCAACATGTAAACAATATGGTTGTTGAATAGAACCTCCAAAAATGCATAATATGCCTTTGTAAGCTACAAAACACACACAAAACAAGAACTAGCTCAAAAAAAACATTAGATAAATTTGTTTCATCCTACAATAAAGGCTTAAGCTACAAAACATAACATTTAAAGTTGGAAAGTAAAAGCCTTACATCAAAAATTAAACAGAAACTACAATCATCTGTCCTAAATTTGTTTCATCCTACAAAAAAGGCTTAAGGAAAAGGTTAAGAGTTTCTTTTTACAAGCAAATATAGATTTGAGCAACAAACAACACGGCTACCCCGAGCCAGATCCAGATCTAGGCATGAGAGACATGGCTCGTCTAAAATCCAATGACTTGAGTGACCCAGGGAAGTTTTTCCCTTGTGGTAGGATACTACAATAAAATACATGACTATTTCTTGCATTCAACCATTAATTGAGGACATTTGCTTTTATTGTTTGTCAAAGAGATTTATTTAGGACCCTTTAAGGAACATAAAAAACTAGAGTTAATGTAATATTATTACTTGCAAACTCCTCATGAAAACAGGCGTCAAATCCCATAAAAAACAAACAAAAAAGCATGTGAAATGGAACAAATCATACTGCTGTTTAGCTTTGATATCCTTGTTAAAGTCAATGGTTGGCTCACAGTCAAGAACCAAAGCAGGTACCTGTTGATAGTCAATATGCAAGCAACCCCATCATCAATCAAACTAGCATCAAAAGCTCTCACAACTATGGTGTTGTTTCTTTTCAACATAACAAAATGAGTTGTTCCTTTTGTTACTTAAATAAGAATCGACTTAATAGAAAAACTCATGGAATGGAATGGAAAAGGCCTAAACACTAGATGTGAAAGTGAAAGTGAAGATACCTTTTCAATGCTTGAATGCGTATGATTACCCTCCAAATGAATTTATCTGCATCAGCAGGATCTGCATGACAGAATCCGTAAGTTCCCTATAATGGCTGAAATAACTCCTCGATATCTATAGAACTTCAAGTCCAGGAACAAACAGTAGAAACCATGTCTCCACAATTCTTGAAGTATTGTCAATTTCTAGGTTAACCAAAGTAGAAAATCCAAGAAATTTGTCAAGAAACGTATACATGTACTCAGGTTAATAAGACACGAGAGTACCTTTGGCGGGAGCGTTGATAAATAAAACCCTAGACGAAGGATGCTGATAACGAGGGTTTATGAGTTTTTTTTGGTGGGTATTCTTTTTATCAGTAGATTCATCTTACTCGATCTCACATACTGATATTGATTTCCTGCTTCTACTCCTAGAACTTGAACGATAGCTCTTTTTCCTCCTCCTTGATCTGGAATCATATGAATCAGCTGAATCATTGATGAGAAGAACTTGAAGATAAAAGATGGAAACAGAGGTGGAGGAGAACAAGGGAAACCAGATACAACAAAAATGAAGGCCAAGCCCGCCTAAGAAGTGGTCGATGCAAAAAAAAAAAAAAAAAAAAAGGGGGGAAACGAAAATCGCTAAAATCGCATGAGGGAATCCATGAATTTTAGGGAAAATACCACCGGTTGTTTGGGATTTTTCTTAGTAGCGAGATTTTTTATAATTCTTTTGGGATTTCATTCTATAATTTTTGGGAGTGCAATTCGATCATCGATGGTAGAAGGGGTTTTTACAGAGAGTGAAGATCTAGAGGAGAGGGTGAGGATGCGTATCAAGGGGGTTTAATTTTTGGGTTCACCGGTGGAAACAAGGGAGAGGAGAACAAGCGGGATTTTTAACTTTTGGGTTTTTATTTCCCGCTTAGCTATTAAATGATGGAAAACGCGCCTTTCACTAAAAAAATTATAAAACGACATCCTTAGACGACACACGTTTTAATATAGGTGCCCTCCGTTTTTTTTGGACATGAATTTTAGTGCACGCAAAAATGCGTGTCTTAAATCCTTAAATTTTTTAAGGAGATGACACTTTCTTAATGTCACTCTCTTTTGCGTAATATAAATCAATGAGTGTCGTTGTTTGCGCGTCGTAAAAGGCTCTTTTTCTTGTAGTGAAGTCAACATGAATGATGACTCTTTCATACAAAGTCAAGGTGGTAGATTGTATGTGGTGAGTATGACCAGCCATGTGTTATGTGGATTACACATGTTTCCAAATGGATTGAAACCGTTAGCTGAAAGACCTAGGCATACATTACGGGGTTCACTCGAGAAGTCAGGGTATTTTTTATTAAAATCTTGCCAATGTTCCCCATCAACAGGATGAAGCATCACACCATCTTCTGAACGTCTGGTAGTATGCCAAATCATATTTTTGGCAGTGTGTCTCGAACAATATAAACGTCGTAGTCTAGGGGTCACAGGAAAGTACCTAACACCTTATGAGGTACTTTCTTACCCTTGGTGTTTTTATCGATCCAGCGGCTCTCTTTACAAATGGGCCAAACTTACAATGAATCGTGTTCTTTCCAAAAGAGACAACAATCGTTTTTGCACACATGTATCGACTCATACCCCAGGCCAATAGACTTTAGTTTCTTTTTGGCTAGATAATGTGAAAGGGGAACCTTGTTGCCTTTGGGAAATGCTAATTGCAACAACTCAAGGAGTTGATCACATGAACTATCAGTCTATTTGTTGTTCACCTTGATATGCATTAACTTTTCTAGAAACTCAAGGGAAGAAAATATGAAACCAGGATACAATTTAGTTTCCATTACTTCCAACAACTGTGCAAAATCATCATCCACACCGCTACCCCTTGTATTCGAGGTTCCTTCATCAAGGTTGGTATCATTTTCTCTCGACTCCCACATCACATTGTCGATTAAATCGGCCATTTCGTTATTTGGCAAGACGACTGGAGGAATAAAAGATTCACCATGATAGATCCAAATTTTGTACGACTTACTGAAACCATTTATAAATATATGGCGTTCAACTGCAGTCGGGTACTTGAAGTAACAGTTATCACATTTTTCACATGCACATCTAATTTTACCAATACTATCAAGGTGTGTCCTGGACTTCTCAATAAAAGCTTTGAGTCTTGCTTGGAACTCGGGATGGTTTCGATATGGATTAGTAGTCCAGCTTTTATCAATAGACATGATGTTGCTGAAACATAATTTTAGGTTTAGAGTTTAGTATATAAAATTAACATTGTTTTTTTTTTCAATCCACATTTTTTTTACAACTAAAAGAATAAAAAAATTAAAAATTAAAATAATTTAATTAAAATTTTTTATTTACGTTTTTTTAATTAATTTTAATTACAATTACTTGTAATTTATATAGGCAAAAGTTATAAGTATTAAATATAAATATGAAACTATAGAAATATAACATTATAAGTTAATTTGAAGATTATAAGTTAACTATATAACTTATTGGTTAATTTAGGGTTAGCTTGGGTAGAAACTAGAAATATATATATATATATATATATATATATATATATATATATATATATATATATATATATATATATATATATATATATATAATTTACCATCGAGATTAAAAAATATATTTTGTTATTTATAACATTATAAATATGTTGTTTTTTCTAGTATTTATAATTTACCGTCGAGATTAATATATATATATATATATATATATATATATATATATATATATATATATATATATATATATATATATAAAAGTAACATATTATGTTGTTGTGTTGTTGTTTCTAGTATTTGTAATTTACCGTCGAGATTAAAAAATATATATGTTTTTTATTTATAACATATATAAATACGTTATTTTGGGGTTGGATAATTTTGGAAAAAGTTAATCACTAAAAAGAGTTTGTAGCAATAATTTTTGGTTTTAGAGTGCTGATTTATTTTTATCAATTATAATAATCTTATTTTGTAAAGTTTAATAATATTATTTTGCAATTTTTTATTCTCATTTTTTTCTAGTAACAAAATTATTAATAATAAGAAATATGACTTAAAAGTATTTAAAACAGATTTGATAAGTAATTTTTATCGTTTTTCTAAAAATCATATTTGTTTTGGTGCGTATTTACAATTTGGTTTTTAAATAATCATTTTAATTTTATTATATTCACGTCTATTCAGACATTAAAATGTCATTCTTAACACTTGGTCACAATAATCAAAATGACATGATTTAAAAAATGGATAATCATTCAAAGTTCAACCCCCATCCCCCCCCCCCCCCCCCCCAAAAAAAAAAAAAAAAAAAAAAAAGAAGAATCCAATACAAACATGAATATGTGTGTAGTACCCTAACAATTTTATAATTTTTTTATTATTATTATTTTGCAATCAGAACAATAATTTATATATATATATATATATATATATATATATATATATATATATATATATATATCAATTATAGCATCCTACTTATACCAAAACCACATACTTTTACATAATATATAAGAACATGAGATTCACATACTTTTGCAAACATATACACCAAATACAAATACATTCACATACACACAAAATAGCATCCTACTTAAGCAAAATATACATAATTTCACATATATAGATAATAACATCATATTTATACCAAATACAAAATTTCACAATCATATACCACATTTACAACAAACATACATACATTCGCATACAAACAATAACATCCTACTTATAACAAATATATAATTTCATATATCATATATATAGTTGTACCAAATACTCATATACCACATACATCAAATATCAAATATACACACAATTTTCACATATGTTAATTTTCACATACAAATACCAAATTCACAAAAGAAAAAAATAAATAATAGAACCTGCAGTGGCGGAAATCAACGGATATATAGCAGGAAAAACTGTTATTCAACCGATGAAACTACAAATCGACAGTAAAGATGATGTTTCCTTGCTTGTAAGGTCAAATGTCCTCCAACAAAACCTGGGAGCCATCCAAAATGTCACAAATCTCTTCAACAATATTTGCAAGGGTAACATATAAATTAAATTACCAAATCTTAGAAATTTAATCAACACTTTTTCAATGTTAACATACAAATTAACAAGGAAATTATCAAATCAAATTACCTTTCTTCAAGAAATTGAGTTAGAAATCGATCCCAACTCACACCTTCATCCTTAATATCATTAATATGACACAATGTGGGGAGAAATCGGGATGGAACAAGCAAATTGAAGATGAACTCGGAAGAAGCTGGAAGGCGCGAAGGGTAGCGAAGGTAAACATAAAGCAGAATATGGAAGAATGAAGTCTACTGCGAGCTTTTTTTTATTATTATTATTATTTTTATCTGCGAGAGACTTTACCGGCGACCCCTTTAGCGACGACAAATAGGGTTTTACCGGCAACACTTATCAATTGTGACGACAATTTGGAGGGAAGGGTACCGCGTCATTTTTAAGTGAAGTATTAGCGGCAACATGTTCAACCTTAAGCGGCGACACATATGTCGCCGGTATTAGGTTAGTTCGGATAAAGGACCCCAACCGTTGGATTGGATATTTGATCGAATGGTTTAGATGTAACGGAAGGGGAAAATGTGGATTCGGGTGATCACCCTTTAGCGGCGACGCTATTACCAGCGACATGGGTTTTAGCGGCGACAATCTCTAGAGTCGCCGCTAAAGGCCTCCATCGCCGGTAATAGCGTCGCCGCTAAAGGATCATTTTCTTGTAGTGCTACTTGCCACTCTTAATTACTTCGTGGCCCACAAGGGTTTGTATTTTATATAAAGGCTTATTCAATAACATGTGCATTATGAGAAAATAACCCTTTAACAATTGTGTCAGTTGGTAATAGTGTCGGTTTGAGAATGTCATTCTCATATGTTCCACAAATCTTCAGATTGGTACAAAACATACAATGAAATCTCCAATTATGGTAATTTTTGCAACAAATTATTGGAAGTCATTGAATAAGATTTTTGTTGGATAGTTTTTCTGCAATTTGGATATGCGCTTTCACTTTCTGTTTTCTATTTGAGAAACACACATCCACACCTTGCTCTACCATTTTGTTGCAAAAGAAAAGAGAAAACAAAAAGTAAACCGAAGTGGACTGTAAGGAGTTAAAACAACAGGAAGATTTAGGATTTACTGCAAAATATGTTTAATGCAACCTCATACTTATTACAAAATAGAAAACATACATTTTGTATGTATTGATTTATATTACAATGTTTGATAGATTTGGATAGTTTAACTACTTCTGGACAGTTATAACTTCTAACACACGTCTAGATTATAAGTACTTCTAACACAATTAAGGGATCAAAAATCATGTTTGTTTTAATTGGTAATCATACCATATCCATCACGATGTGAAAAGATGATATGATTCTGTAAAACCATTGATCCATCCAGTAATTCTATAAAAGAAGCGCACCAACTATAATGTTACCCAAACCTCCTATAACTTCCTGTGCAAAATGATCTTTTATGTCAGAGTTATTCATTTTCATGACCTCAACGATGGCTATAAGTATGACCACAAATGCATAATCCACGTTGGGATAAATGGTCACCTTGAATTTGTTCGTTACATCCTCCGATGATTGCATTTTAGACATCTACAAGAATAAATCCATTAATTAGTTTCAGCTCGAGCTTTAAGTTTATGAACATACTAGAAAACAAGCTAAAAGGTATATGAAAATTACTTGGGCTATTGGTGTCGAAGTATCTCCCATATAAATAGTGCAGTTTCTGTTCGTCCAGCTACCACTGATCTTGAAATCACAAACATTCTTCTTACTAGTTTTGTTTGCCAAGAACACTTGTACACAGGTCTTAAACTGGATCATGTGAGGTGATTGTGTGGTAAATATCATATCGGATTTACTTTTACTGTTACCCCTGAATACATTCCATCTGTCGTGTTCACTCATGATCTGGACAATAAATTAGTGCATGCCAATGCTAAAGTTAGCATCAAAATTTCAAACTCACGGACAAAAAATATGTTAAAAATTGAACTTAAAGTCACCTTGCCACGCATTAGAACGATGGGTTTGCCATCAGCATCAACTAGCACTCGCTGCTGATGAAAGGATGTGTCGCATGTTTTCACTTGTAGCATGATTTTATGTTCAATATCTGTAACCACAAGATTTCCCCCTGTAATTATATCAACTATAATATCGAATTGATATGGTGCCATGAACTGAGACCCTATCACAGAAACCGGAGAGGATAAAGGTTCATTGCTTGGTTGCTCCATCTTCAACTCACAACTCACAGAGAGAGAGAGAGTATGAGTGAAAGACTTTTAGCAAGACGTTTCCCTGTGGCGGATTACTTTTCTGAAGGTGTTATATAAGGAAGTTTTTGAGGCTCAAGTCAACATGGCATTGTTTTGACAAAGTCTACCCTCGTCACTTAATTCATTTATAAATGACATCGACTGGTCCACACCAAAGTATTCTTTCTCCAAGAGGTTGTTTTTTTAAAAAGGTCAACAAAACAAGGCTTATTGCTTTTTTGTTTGAGGAATATATATATATATATATATATATATATATATATATATATATATATATATATATATATATATATATATAGGGAAAAGTGAATATACCCTTAAGGGTATATAAGCTTAGGTACCCAAACTCATAATAATACATCGTTTTGTTTGATATATTCATTATAACATTGTTAAACTTCAATCCTTAACTTGATTTATATTCAATATTTTTAAATTTTCACTATTATCTTCCTTTTACATCACATCTTTTTATCGAACACTTACTAGGTTATATATATTATTGTTGAAAATGACAATTATGTAAGAGGAGGATAAATATGAAATTTATAAAAATCTTTTAAGTAATTCAAGTTAGAAGTTGAACTATAAGAACATTGGACAATTACAATGTCTATATATGATATCAAACGATGTACTATGGTGAGTTTGGGTACGTAAGCTTATATACCCTTAAGGGTATATTCACTTTTCCTATATATATATATATATATATATATATATATATATATATATATATATATATATATATATATATATATATATATATATATATATATATATATATATATATATATATATATATATAATGGGAGTCTTTCTCAAGTTTTGGTCCAAGAATGGACTTTTTTGCACCTGGTGCTGCTGTGGTGTTGTCATCAGTGGCGGAGCCAGGTTTAAAGCAAAAGGGTATCCTAATCCGATGGGTTTAGTTTTTCGGTTTTCTAAACTCGGTTTCAGGTTTTAAACTCAAACCCATTCAAAAGTTTAAGTTGTTGAGAATTGAAAATTTTGTGTTGCTTATATACCATAAGTATTGGAGATTTGTTTCATGTTATGACCGATGTGGGATAATTTTAAAATTTAAAAAAAAAAAAAAAAAAGTTGAAAAAATAATAAATAAAATAAAATACACCCATGTAACAGCTAAGATTCAAACTAAAGACCTCAAACTTAAAAGTTTTTACCACTTGAACAACACAATACTTGTGCTTAACTTTCACAACATACTAATATAATATGTATAATCTGTATAAAACTATATAAAATGAGTTATGAAACTAAAGACCTCAAACTTAAAAGTTTTTACCACTTGAACAACACAATACTTGTGTTTAACGTTCACAACATACTAATATAATATGTATAATCTGTATAAAACTATATAAAATAAGTTATGAAAATAAATATTTGCAAGAATATTTGAACTTGGAACCTCCTGAAACATCCCTAATACCTTAGCCATCTAAACCAACTACAATTTGTATTATTACCTCGCTAAACATATTAATATTATGTATGTATACACTACATAAAACAAAAAAAAATTTAAAAACATGTAGTACCGAATTTTTTTGAGGGGTATCCCGGGATACCCCATGATCTATGGTAGATCCGCCATGGTTGTCATGATCTTCATTGGTGCTGTGATTGCTATCTTGGTTTGTTATTGCTCGTGCTTATACCGTTGCCAATATTAACAAATTAGTCCTAGAATGGTTTGGATGCTGTCGGCTTTCGATGAGTTCTATTAATTTAAGTTTCGAGTTAAATCTCTTTTTCCATTTTTAATGGACCTAAAAGTCATCCCGTCAATCTTTAATGTCCTATGTATATGAAAGTCGTCTATGGAACAATGGATATTAAAATGTCAACCGAACAAGGGTTCTATTAATTTAAGTTTCGGGTTAAATCTCTTTTTACACTATTAATGGATCTAAAAGTCATTCCATCCATCTTTAATGTCCTATGTATATGAAAGTCGTCTATGGCACAATGGATATTAATGGAAGCATATGAATTCATTGATCATATACTCATAACTATTTCCCAACATCCAATTACTGTAAAGCATGAACAATATTTGCGCATTAAGTTTATATTGATTGGCGATCATAACCAACTTGTTATCAATAAATAAAAATAAAATAAAGTTGGTGGTTTAGTAACACAACTACAGTTTGACCGATTCCAAATTCCAGGTTGACCAAGCATGATATTTAATGACTGGTTAATTTGTTTTGTATTTTTTTTTTAAATTTGATTTTTTTTTTTTTTTTGAAAAATTTAATATCCTTCTTTTTTTTTTTTTCGTATGACTTCTCTTCATATAGAATAATGACATATAAAATCTATCAATTCTAACTCTTAATCACTCTCTTGATTTTGAGACCTACTTTGATCTATTGAATAGAAATATGAGTATTTCGAGAATATATATATATATATATATATATATATATATATATATATATATATATATATATATATATATATATATATATATATATATACTACAAACAAAATATCATTTAGTGGCATACATTTTTAATGGCACATCTTTTTTATGCCACTAAAATATGTTTTTAGTGACATATTTTATATGACACTATAAAATTAATAGATTTAATGATACTTAACCATTTATGTTACTAATATTAATGTTTATAGTGACATAAAAATTTAAAATATCACTAAAAGATCTACATTTTGTGTGGTATATTCTTTTATATGCCACTAGTTTTACTATGTGATTTTACCTATTTGTTTTTGTGCCTAGAAAACTTTTTTTGATCAATGCAATTTTACGTTTCCCCACTTCTTATACCCTAATCGATCCCATTTCACAGCTCACGACATCATACATCTAGCCGACGCCAAGATCAAATAGTTGATTTCATCGGATCCTTATCGAGATCACGACCAGTGATCTCAAAATTAAAGATCAGCAAGATGAGAATCCGAATCAGAGCTCCTTATTGAATTATCGCTCTTCTCCGAGCTCCATCTTTTCGAATCTACTCAACGAGAATGGAGACAAGGAGTTTCCGGATGCTATCACCGCCGCCTCGACCCTCAGATCACGAGCCGGATGAAAGGTTCTTTAAGCAACAAAAGAAATCTGAATATGATTCACCTGAGTTTCTTTACTGTATAGATTATGAGTCGCCGTCATCAACGCCTGTGAATCAGGAACAGAGAGAAACGCCGATTTAGAACCAGGATCTGCCACCTTCATCAATGGTTGTGATGCGCCGTTGCAATTCTTCAAATCAAAGTAATTTCTTGCTATACTGATGTATCTTATTTTATTTCTATGATTTATTAGATTTTCTATTGGCACGTGAATGAAGTTATTGGCAAACTCTTGATAAAATATTATTTCTTTCATAATTGCTCTGCTATGCATCGACAAAAGTTATATCCATATAAACTATTCCGTATTTCAAGTTGTCTCTTTTTTTTTTTTTTGCATGATCATTTGTAAGTAGATTTTTATACATTGAAAAACTTGATTGATTTGTGTGAATTTCTTTTTAACTTTCTGAGTGTTGATTTTAGATGTAACCTGCACTTTAATGAAAATTTTCGTCTTCAGGTTACCCATCAACTATGGTATTTCATTGATATCTATTTTTTGTACCTGTCTTCCATTGTCGTCTGATTGTATCTGTTTGGTTTTAGGGATTTTGTAAATTTTTAGATAGGATTTAAAGTTTTGATTGTAGATGTTTGAGCTCTTTTAGATGATATATTTGTTATTTGTGTAGGGTAAAATTGGACATTGCATATGTTTTTTTCATTGAATTCGTTGTGAATTTGTTGGTTTGACTGCATAAGAGTCTGCCATTATCTACCAGTACTTGCACTTATCTTTCAACTTATATGTTGATAGGATTATATTATAATTTTTTTTGAACGACTCATAATCTGATTCTTATTTTCTACCGAAGTACACATTTGTAACTAGCCGAGGGGAACAATTTCTAATTCCTGATGCAACTAGTATTATTACAATCGCAAGGTAAGTGGTTGGAGTTGAAACAGAATGTTTGGAGGCTTGAAACGTGAAAAGTGGTTGGAGAAGATGAACTTAATCTCCAATAGTGCAATGATAACTATCAGGTTGGAAACAATTTATTTTATTGTGCTCTAGATCAAAACAAACAATAAAAGCGACCAATCTTTTGTTGTTGTAATAATGCTAAATTTGAAACAATGCCTTCAGCTTGTAGTGGCTTAAGGAGATGATCACTTTTTAATATAATAAATAATGCTTATTGAGATCGGCTATTTTTCATGGCTACCTGAAAGTTCTCATAAGGTATTTGCTGCTTTGTTTGTTTGTAGGTGTAGCCAAGGGGAGTAATGCACTGCAATTGATTTTACTCTACAAGTATTTTTTTAGGAACTGAAATTTGTATTTTAGGTGTCGAAACCAATTTATTTATTACCTTTTTTAATCATTCATAGTTACTGGCCGGATATAGATATTCAGGTACATTATCATTTGAGACATGCTTAGATATATAAAAATTGGATTACTTTTGCAGGATTTATATGATTGGAAATCTCAATATAACCAAATGTTTAGATTTGTTTTTCTTGTAGGTGCTATAGGAAGTAAAACTCCAGAAATTTTGGCCAAATTGAAGGTATAATTATAATTTGCTTTACTTTTATCTTGCCTACCATACATACACAAATTTTCTGTAGTATTGTGCAAGGTGCAATCGCTAATTAAATACATATATTAGAGCAATTACAAATCCTTTCCTTAATTTAACATTATATAGCATCCCACTTATGCCCACTTTTTCAATCTGAAACATATTACCACTAGTAACTTGAAATTCAAAAGCATCTATGACGTCTATGGTTCTAGGAAGCAACTGGAAGTGCTATTAGTCAAACAAGGTTGTATATGTCCTATTGAGTCTCAGTCGGTTGGATATATAAATCCTTCCATTTGACATTTGTAAGTTTACTCTTTTGTTCCCATATTCTGTATAAATTTTA